GACATGATTTTTAATTTCTTGTTTGATTAATTTAAAATATTTTATTTTATTTTATGAACGCCGTTGAACAGCGGACCCAATTTTTGGGTTTACGACTACTAATGTTCAACGCCGTAGCCTTGTAATTTTGAACCAATCCAGAAGACAAGGAAACTCCCGGATCAGTATCCCCAGAGGTATTGATTTGTTATGGAAACATGGAGGACTTTGAGACTCGACAGATTTAACGTGCATCAGTCACCATTTACTACACGGGGAGTCTTCGACCGGCGGGGACCGAACCCACGAACTCTTGGACATGGGCTCGGCACCCCACCGACCAGGCTATCCCAGCCTAGTAGCGACAATTTATCAGAATTATTGTTGCACCGCACCTGTGGACCTGCTACAAGAGGAGTATTAGTTGATTATGGCAGTAAATGGAAAGCATTAGTCATGATTGGATGTTAATCTGTTGTTACATTGGTTAGATAATGGGTTTGGTGTTTATCAATATCTTCTAGTGGTTCCATCATGGTGTTGTTCATCGCCTGTAAACTATTGAATTCGAAAAATTAGTATCATGAGAAACAAACTTATCTAATTTGGCTTACTGCCTTAGAACAAGATTAGAATCTTATGTTAGCGCTTAATTTAAAATATTGAAAAGAGCTTAAAAAGAAAAGAAAAAAAAGGAAAAATTTTGCTATAAAAATTATTTTGAGTTCTATCAAAAAGTTCATAACAGCCGTTAAATATAAATTTAATTGAATGAATGAATTGTAATAAATTATATCTAACGATAATGAAGTCAATTGCTTTAAATAAAACATCAATTGAATCGTATTATCCGCCATGAATATGTGCACTACAGTAGGGAACCGATTATCCGGAACGGTCGGGACCATCGCTATTCCGGATAACTGATTTTTCCAGTTTTCTGAATCGCTACAAAAAGCCGTTTTTTTATTGTTAAATCCAACTAAAAAAAAAAAATTTGGAAATAATCTTAAAAATAAGAAAAAACGATGAAGTAATAGACTAATGATTATTTCCAAAATGATGGTAAGGTAAACATCGTTAAAAAAAGAAAGAAAAATCGTAAAATCTTATGAGGGAAAAAAAATTTTTTTTTAAAAAAATGGCGAGAAAATTTATCGAATTACGTTCCGGTTTTTTGGTTTTCCGGTTTTCTGATTTCCGGATAACGGGTTCTGTACTGTATTTAGAATCCTTATCAAAAGTGAAAAGTTTGTAAAATGCGCTCATTAAGGATTACCAAATAATATTTAATTGTAAAAAATAAAGTTATCGAAACCTTAAAAATCATGATGATCAAAACCTGTTTAATTAATTTTATTTTTAGCCGGCGTTGAACAGCCGATCCAGTAATAAACTTACGACTATCAATGGTCAACTCCATGGCCTTGTAATTTTGAATCCAACCTCGAAGACAAGAGAACTCCTGGACTAAGCATTGAAATAAACTAGCCTTCGTGGAAGACTTTATAAAGGAACTAACCAGCATTTCCGTTATATGGAAAGGAAAACTACAAAACCTTCCACTGTTAGCCAGATTGTAAAAGGATTCTAACTCATGAGGACATTTTACGTCAGTACTGTAGTTGTTGCGAGCCGGGTGCAGAATTCGTATCAAGTAGCCACAGTTGGGTTTCGAACCCTATAACCTCATTGAGAAGCGAGAGCTCTATCCTAATTTGATTATTTTTATATCGTTTTATGACCAGCCCAATGCCGAGTTTACGGCTATCAATGTTCAACCCCGCAGCCTTGTAATTTTGACATCCTCATCATACATAGGGCATTCGAAACGAAATCTTAGTGAACTTCAGCACCCTCAGTCTTACATGGTGTCATCTTTGAATATTTATCTTTTTTAGAGAAACTTTGGTATACCTTAGAACATTTTTTATCTTAGAGGCACTTAGCCTTGAAAAGGGGACACTTGAACTTTTGAACTTATAGTCGACTATTTTAATTATTCTATTAATCTTATTTTAGTCTTATTTGTTTTTAATGTGAGTTTCCGTATTTTTACGATTTGATGTTTTACCTAATCTTACTTTTTATACGTTTTTACCTGTATTTTTGACACTTTTATTTTTGGTTAATTTCACTCATTTATGTGTATTGCACGCTTTTGACGTTTTTTGAGAATTCTGTTTCATTTTTATCTGTTTGATCTTTTCGATATTGGGATTTTTTCTTATGTGCATCAATCTTTTTGGTTTTGATTTTACTTTACTGTAATTTTGTAGTGTTTAGTTCACGTGACAACGGTGAAACCCTTTGGTCGGTAACTATTAGTCTTACAGAAATTGCAATCTCCTTTTTAGTATTCTCTTCGAAAAAAGGAATAAAGCTTGAAGACATAAATCTTAAGCCTTTTAAATTTAGCATGATTTATCATTAAGTAAATGCTGTGATTAGGATTAACCTGGAGCCATTAGCATACCGGACATTTCATATTATTTTTTTTTTTTTAACTATTGCAACAAGTTTTTAGTTTTAATTTAATTAAATTAAAAAAGCATAAGCGACGTCTAAAATGGCAAATTAAAATTCAGTGTTAGTCGTTGATGAATTGAACGTGATCAAATTCTACTGCAAAATTCGTGATCCGACTTAGGAATTTGTATTTAGGAATTTAGCTAATGGAACAACAGTACGTTTGAATTGCATACTGATACTATACTAAGCTTCACATTTTGAATTTAAATTTATTATGATGAGTTAATAATTTTTCCATGTTTTTATAGTTCATAAGTTATTTAATTCATAGTATATTTTTTTAACTTAGATATTTGAATTTTTAGTTTATAAATCATATGAAGACCACGGGGGGGGGACGGTTTGTGTCCATTGAAGTTGCGTGTGTTTGAATCGGAGAAAAAACGATTTTGCTCGCGGAAAAGAGTGGTTATTGCGCAGTATAGCCTATCTTCACTATGTAATTACTCTCAAGGAGAACCGATTTTTCCGTTTGTTTATATCAAAACTTAGTAATCCTCAAAATGCAACAGATGGCGTGTCAATCGTCAATTATGTGAAAAATGGACATAAATCGTCCCCCCCCCTTGCTCTTCATATATTATAATGTTTGCAAACAAACACAACTAAAACCTATGAAAAAATCTTTTTTTACTTGTAGATATATATTTCCTTTTCTTATTTGTTTATTTATAAAATTTTTAACTAATTCATTTATTTATTGTTTAATTTAAAACTGGAATCTTTTACTTTCCTATTCTGTTTAAACATTTTATTATAAAAATCGGGCAAACTTTTTGCCATAATATTAATATTATTGCCATATTATATATTATTGCCATACCTGCAATAACATATAATTTGGAAGAAAAAAAAATTCTGTTTTTTTTTAATGAAAAATCATTATATAAGTTAAGAATCTGCAAATTAAGAGGAGATAGAATCAAAGAATAATTGTTTTAATTTATGGATCGCATAGTAAGTAAAAAAAAAAATATTTTTACAAGTAATTAAAAATATTAAATATAACCAAATACGTGTAGTAAAACGCATGTTTGATTGATAAGATTTCGCTTTGAAAACATCTGAAAACAACGCACTCGATCATTTCAACAATTTTTATCGGATTAACAGCTTATTGAAAGATGAAAAGTAATCTATCTTTTACTTAACTATGTTTTGTGCGTATTTCCTATGGCCATTTTTGAAAAATATTTTGCGGGATGGAGTTATTATGAGGAAGTTGTGGATCCGGTTTCAATCAAAAGAACTCGGAGAAAGAAAAAAAAATTTTTTTTCTAAGGGTCAGTCTTTCATCAAATTCCATTAAAAAAAATATTAATCGAAAGAAAAATCAATTTTTAAAAGTGCGGTTAAAAAATTTTACATTCGTGAAGCTCTAATAGATTTTCTAAAGATATTTAGTATCTATACCGTTATTTTTTTAATTAATTTAATTTGCTATAATTGGTTACAAAAAGTTCAGTGTGTCGAAATATGTCGTTGAAAACTAATACTCCATTTATTTTAAGATCTAATTAAAAACTTAATAGATTAAATTGATTATGCAACATAGGGAAAAAGTTTAGAAATGTTCGAAATGATATATATTTTGTAACAATTTCTCGTATATATTTTCATCAAATACCAGTCGCCCACGGCGACCATTTGGTCCGCCAATTAAAATGAATAGAATTTCAAGTATTACGAGATTTAGAACAATTCAGTCAAAAATCAAGAGAATATGTAAGTACTTACACTCATATTGTTCAAGTGACAGTGAATTTAATTTCTGTTTCTTACATGTTGGTATGGTATCGTGGTGAACTTGTTATTAAAATATTTAGTTTAACTTACGCTAACATTAAGAAATAAATACTAAGTATAAAAACTAAATCAAATTAGCTGCTTTGAAATAATCATCAAATTGTGCACTTATTTGCTATTATTAATTATGCAAACCTGCGAATTTCAGTAGTAAGAATTTTTTTTCACAAAGCGAAACGAACTTTAACACTTATAAACTGTCTTTAAGCTAAAGGAATACGTAGTTCTAGAACAGTAAACATAAAAAATGCATTTAATGCATTTTAAAGCTAAAAATAAATTTTTAAAAAATAATTTACCCTAATGGTGCAGTTTCAAGGTCTGGTTTCTTAGGACAAGCGCCTCATCTGGGCGTCAGCGTGACGTCCATGTCCCGCTGATGCCAACAAAATACTGGTTTGTTAGCTCGAGGCCTGGTTTCTTAGAACTAGCGCCTTATCTGGGCGTCAGCGGAAAGTTGACGTAGAGCTGACGCCAAAAAAAATACTTTTTTGTTAGCTCAACGTGAGCAGTCGGTCCAACGCAGACATTATCTCTCATTGCGCATGCGTTAATAACGTAAACAAATATTTATTTTGAATTTGTATTGATTTTGTTATTGTCGACCAGTGTTTTAGAGAATAAATAATGACTTTGTCCAAGAAAAAACACATTATAGCTGAGCTAAATGAAGAGTGCTATGTTTAATGAAGAAGCTATGTTTAAT